AAGTATTAGCTAATCTACTTAAAACGAAGGACATTCTATACAGATGGATATTACTGGAAGGACTAATGTTTAATTACAGAGGAAGAAATTTTAAGCTAAACTCAATAATGAAATTAGAGGACTTTTTGGAGAAAAATGGTCAAGACCTAGGACTTGGAGAGGATAATCAAAGTGAATCTGAAGAAGAACCACAAGAGGAAGGACAGGAAAAAGACGAGAGGAAAAAGGAAAAACAAAAAATGAAAAGAAGGAGATATAAGAAGTTTACCCCTTTTAGCATCACTACAAGAAACCAACAGAAGAGAGAAGAGAATAAAAACAAAGAAAGAAATGAAGAAGCAAAAAATAATTAAAATAATATCTATCAACGTAAATGGCTTAAATTCCCCTCAAAAAAGAAGGAAAATATACTCACAATTTAAAAACAAACAGACTGATGTAATTTGTATGCAGGAAACTCACATTAAGAAAAACGATAAAAAGCTAATAGAATTTAAGAAATTAGGATTAAACTTTATAGCAGCAGATGGTTGTAAAAAGAAAGGTGTTGCTACCTATGTAAGACCTTACCTTCGTCCTGAGTTGGTTTTTGAATCAGAGGATGGGAGGATCCTGATAGTAAAAATTTTAAAACAAAATAAAGCGATGCATCATATTAATATATATGCACCTAACCAGAATCAGGAATCCTTTTTCTCTAAACTAAGGGAGGTAATAATGAAATATCCTAGTTAAGAAGTATGTATAACTGGGGATTTTAACACGGTCTATGACTCTAAGGAAGACCGGAAAACCCAAGGACAAAGAGTAAATAAAGGAAAAGAACTTCCACGCACCTTTTTACTTCTGGCAGAAGAACTAGGTCTTATAGCTATTTGGAGAACAAAGAATATTTCTAAAAAGGATTTCACTTTTTTTTCTACACGCCATAAATCATGGTCCAGAATCGATATGGTATGGGCATCAAACACTATATTGTCAGATGTTAGAGATGCGGAGATACTGCCTGCAACTTATGCCAACCACAACCCTGTTATGATAACCTTGCAAGATAATCCCAAATCATCAAGATGGACTTTGAAGACATGGATGCTTAATGATGAAAAGTTTGTTAAGGAAACCAAAGAAGAGTTTAAAGATTTTTTAAAATGGATTATGACATCAGAAATAAATATAACCTCAGTAAGGGACGCCTTTAAGGCATTCACAAGAGGGAGAATGATCAGACATGAAATTTGGCTACGCAGACAGAAAAACTTAAAATATAAATCTCTTGTGAAACAGATTAAAATTGAAGAAGATAAACTGAAAGAAGAACCATCATCCAATTGTCTAAAATTTAGGATAATGGAATTACAACATCAATTGAATAATTTGTTCACACAAGAAATAGCAATCAAACTAGAATATGCGAAACACTATCAATTTGAAAACGCAAACAAACCAACCAGATGGCTGGCTTACCGACTACGAAAGAATAGAGAGAATAACATTATTAAAGTATTAAAGAATGAACAGGGGGTAGATTGCCATTCTATGGAAAATCTTAAAGAGATTATAGAGAATTTTTATAAAAAATTATATGAACAGAGTCACCAAAACCAACAAGAAATTGATCAATTTTTGAACAAATATAATAAAAAGAAATTTTCAGATGAGCAAAACATTTTAAATGAGCCCATTACAATTTGTATTAAAAATTCAAATTCGGAGAACGGGATGCCATGAAAGCGGCCAGAAACTATGTTCAACGGGAACGTATTCAGCCTAGCCAATGTGAAGGCTCTCTGGAGTGCTGGGCTTTTGAGAGAGTAACAGTAAGTAGGGATCACAGCCGGCGGAGGAAGGCTGAGGGATAGGCCCGAGCAGGTTCGCCGAGCTCTGCAGAGTGTACTGCCAAAGTCCAGTTCCCTTAATTTTGTTTTTATGAGTTTAAAGACCTTGTTTTGCTGTAAGGAGGTAATACCAATGTTCAAGGATTCTAATTTGGATTCAATTAACTTAGTTCTATTGCTTGTATAGGTGTCTCTCTGAATCAAATGAGTGAAACCTGGTCCACTAGGGACAGCCCCTCGACTTTCTTTATTGATAAACAGTTTAAATGCTAACTGCCAAGCTCTTCTCTCAATTGATGGCTGCGCAAATTCTACCCTAAGGGCCGTACCTGCCACGCATCTCGGCACTGCCTTTTGGTGTTTATGTAATACTAGCTTGCTACCTGTGGTTCACTATGGTATTTAAGTTCCATAAATCCAGTTATAATACTGATGAAACAAAAAATTGTTTACAAGAAACAGAAAGATATATTCAGGAGAAGACTGGAATTGAGATATGTAAAAATATTAAATATCTGGGGATTGTAATATCTAAAAGGTGTAGGTTCCTTTTTGAAGATAATTATAGGAAGGGAGATCCAAAAGGATCTGGTGAAGTGGAAAAGCTTATGTTTATCCCTGATGGGTCGTATAGTGGCGATAAAAATGAACATTTTGCCTCGACTTACTTACATTTTTCAAACCATCCCTATAGTTATAAACAAACACTTCTTCCTAGAACTAGAAAAAACTATCTCTAATTTTATATGGCAAGCTAAGAGACCCAGAATTAAACTTAAGTTGATGCAGGAGAGAACAGAAAAAGGAGGGTCCGGTCTACCAGATTGGTATATGTATTATACAGCGATAGCGATGGTATGGATTAGAGAGTGGCTTCTACTAAGTAATTGTTATTAAGCAATAGTCATCTTTTAAAACTTGAAGGGCATGACCTACCGATGGGCTGGCATGCCTCCATATGGTATAACTTAGACTTGAAGTATTTTAACCAGCATATTTTACGTAGAACCCTTCTAAAAATATGGAAAGAAGTCAAGCATTTCTATTTGAAAATTTCTGGGTGGGTTTCTCTGGTGGAGGCATATACAAACCCAATATTATATAATTCAGAACAAAAAAGTGCTTATGAGAATTTATTGGATTCAAATAATAAATTAAAATCAATGGAAAGTTTGCAAGAACAAGGTATTATACTATCCTGGTTAGAAAGATGGCAATTGTTATCTAGATTTAAAGAGGATGAAAAAGTAGGCTTTTACAAAAAAACAACGGAGATTGACAAGATATGGTTGAATTTGGGGGAGAAACTTATAAAAAACTTTACATAATTTTATTGGATGAAAAAATGCAAGATGAACCCTCTAAAGTGGTTATGAAGTTAGGACATGAATTAGATTGGGAGGAATGGATTAAGATCTGGAAAGTCAATGTTAAAGTCACTAGGTTTATGACTTTTAAAGAAAATATATATAAAGTAGTAAATTGATGGTATTTATTCCCAGCAAAGATAGCTAAATTTAATGTGTCGTTTACAAATATTTGTTGGAAGTGTAAACAAAATGTTGGATCTTATTACCACATGTGGTGGTCTTGTGGTAAGGCCCAATCCTTTTGGAAAATGATTCAAATAATGATACAAGGCATTATATTAATCCCGATACCCTTTAAACCAGAATTGTTTCTTTTGAATATAATTCCAGAGGTTTTTGTGAAAACGGATAAAATAATTGTATTACACTGTGTGACCGCCGCAAGAATAGTCAACGCGAAATACTGGAAATTAGATTCTATACCGGGTAAAGATGAGTTTGTGTATAAATTGTTAAAGGTAGTAGAAATGAATAGATCAACAACTATTTTAAAAGGTAAAGAAGAAAAGGACTTTGAAGACACTTGGTCAAAATTATATAAGTGGCTGAAAATATTAGTTAAAGGTTAAACGAATATATTATTTATCTTTACTGTTTAAAAAGTTAGAGTTGTGGTTAGTTCTGTATTTAAATTTATGTTAACAGCGCTGTATGAGTTATTACTGAAAAATCAAAAATATATATTAAAAAAACACATTCAGATACCTCGGAACAAGCCGTACTAACTGCAAAGTCACCCCTGAATGGCCATAAAATGGCCATAAATCTATGCAGAAGGTTCAATAAAATCCAATGATCAAAGAAAACGAAAGCGGCATGGAATGTGGAGGCGACCATAAAACCTGATGATCAAAGGAAGTGAAACCATAATGCAGTGCAGAGGGGAATTTCTGTTCCAACACAGGTTTCGTAAAACAACAGAGGGAAAAGCCAATGCAGAATCAGCCAAAGCTGTTTTGTCCTAACTTTAAGCTGGTGTTTATTTAGGCAGAATATATCTTAGTGGCTGACCCAGAGGAGCTCCTCTTGAATGATAGCCAGGGCCTGAGTGACCATAACCATTTCCTGATGCTGGCTGTCATTGGTTTCATTGCAGACAAACTCCGACGGAGCATGCCCAACCTAGCCCGGATGCCAAGCAACCCCACCGTCAACGCCAGCGTTGGCTCTGTGGTGACTGTGAGGAACAGTCTCAGCTTTGACTCTAACTTGCACGGAGCCGGTAATGGGATGTCAAGAATTCAGTCTAGCAGTAAGTATGACATCTTTTAAAAAATATTTTACCTGGCATGCTTTTCAACCAACAAGGGCCTCGAGGTGGTTCACAGGATAAACCTCGGGCACTTCCACACATGCGAAATAATGCAGTTACAATCCAATCCGTTTGCAAGTGGGTTTTGCCATTTCACACAGTATAATCCATTTGCGAAGTGCACCGAAAGTGGATTTGGGAGTGCGTTATTTAGTGCGTGTGAAAGCGCTCCTTGTTTATTTATTGCCTTCATTTATACCTCATCTTTCCTAGACCCAACACTCTGACTACTCTAGTTTTTAAAAAATGCAAAGCGAAATAAGGAAGTAACCGTGGGTCGTCTTGTTGTTATAATAATTATTTTTGGGGGGAAATACTAGAAACACCGCTCGTCTTCTTGTTACAACTTCTGGTCATGGCTTATGTGGAATTGCTTTGCCATTCTCTAGGAGCGATCCTAGGGGGTCTATTCAGAAGTAAATCCCCCTTTTTAGCCCCCAGAGGGGCCTTATTCCCAGGAAAGCGTTAGGCTTGCAGCCTCTCTCAACCTAGCTTATTCCCCAGGGTTACTGTGAGAGTAGAACGCTGCTCCTTTTGAAGAAGGGGCTGGGTAGAAATAAGCTACGTGCGAGCAGAATGCTTGAATTCGCTTAGCACGAATTTCACGTGGACGCAGTTCCATGACTCTGTGCTTCTCGCCCTCCTCTGTTAGTTCCTTCTCCAGGACAACTTCAGCACCGAGTTCACAGCGTGGGACACTTCCCAGTCTCCGTCAGGCAACCTCTGAAAGCCACTGCCTACGTGAGTCCGACTGTTCAAGGAAGCAGCAGCAATAACACGCCACTGCCCGGCACCTTACAGTTACACTCTAACTCTGGCATCCCGATGCCAAACAAGACTGTGAACGCAGGGGTTATAACGCGCAGTGGTCTCCCGAGGCCCTCCTTGGCCATAAGCGGGAGCAGCATCCCTAGGAGCAAGATTGCACAACCAATTCGAAGGTAAGAGTGGTCCGGTTGGCGCTAAGAGTCAGGGCACGACTGTGGTTGGGCAGCCATCCCCTTTGCCGAGGGATTCTGGGAACCGTAGGTCTCCAAGGAGCATGAGGGATCTCTAAAAGAAAGCTCACCATCCTGGGCGCAGTGTAGTTTCTAGACAGTCTTGGGGGAATCTGGGGTAAAACTGATATCGGTCTGCCTTAGTGTGTTTCTTGCTCTTAAGGGACAAGTAAATTCTCTAAGCTGCTGCGGAGTGATAGCTTTTCTTTTCTTTAATATGTGCGTGTGTGTGTGAGTGTGCACGCACCTGGAAGTCATGTTGACCTCTGGTGACGGACCCTTATTGGGGGCCTGGAGGATATTCAGAGAGGTGGCTGAGTAAAGCCTGCCTCCGCCTCCCCCTCTGGTATTCCGAGGAGGTCTCCCATCCGAGTACTTGCCAGGGTCGACCCTGCTTAGCTTCCAAGCTCTGACGAGATCGGACTTGCCTGGGCTATCAGGGCTAGTGATAGGTTTTCTTGGATAATAATGCTCAGTCTCTAGCCCCATCTTGTCAGATCTCAGACAAGCTATGCAGGGTCAGCCCAGGTTAGTACTTGGATGGGGGGCTAGAGAGGACGTCCAGGGTTGCTACGCAGAGGTAGGCAGTGGCAGAGCACCTCTGAATGCCTCTTGCCTTGAAAGCTCTACAGGGTCACCGTGAGTCAGCTGTGACCTTCCGCCACCGGTGTCCGGTCTACCCTGATACAGAGGACAGAGAGAATTACAGGATCCAAGGACTTTACAGGAACCTTCCACCCAAAGCCCCTTAATTTTAAAATCTGAGCCTTATTGTTTTTGTGTTGTGTGTGTGTGTGTGTGTGTGTGTGTGTGTGTTGTTCATGGACTGCCACGCAGGATTGGCGGGTAGTTTAGCCTGGTAGGTGACAGGCTGTTAACCACCCTGCCAAATAACCCGATGGCTAAGTCTGGCAAGTCTGTGCGATAACTTCCTGGCCGGCCTCCTCACCTAGCTGATGTTCTGTATTCGGGTTGGTGGGTAACAAGTTGCGAAGACCTGAAAAGCCACTGGAAATTGTCGCTGAGCCAAAAGCAGATGAGCTGTTCACGCACAGGTCCTGCATTTTAGGGTGATGCAGGACTTGTGCAAGGGATGACCTTGTTACTTGTTAATGAGGACGTGGCTTTTAGTTTTGGGTTGTTCCAGTTGGGGAGCTGAAAGCTATTCAAGAAAGAAGCTGTTAGTGCTTATTTCTAAGAACTCCCTTGGTTCAGGGGCAGAACTCATCTTGTCCAGCATGGAATATCTTTTCCTTATGCTTGTCCAGTGTGTTGTGGTCACGAAGCCGTGGAGCAGCATCTGAAGTGTAGACTAGCAAGGAACAGAGGCCAGAAGGTGAAGAAAATAAGTGGGAAAACTCAAAGCGAAGGTGGCTTCGTTGAAGGGGTCAAACCAGTCAGTTCCCAGGGAAGTCAGAGACTGTTCCATCACCCCCTGGTTTATCCTCAACTGAGACTTGACAGGGCTTGGTTCCAGAACCCTGCAAGCTACGTCCAGCTCTCCAGGCCTGTTTTTGAATGGCCAAAGTTTACAAAATTTGAGACTGGCCACGCATTTTGAAGTCTTCATCTTGGGTCTGCTCGTAGGTTGTGTTATGACAGTTTGGGCAGGAGAGAAGGTCAGGGGTCTTTTCTCAGGAGCAGTCCAAGCCAGACGTGTTGACTTTTATTTCTTACACTTTCAGGACCAAAATCACTTCAGCACTGATGCTTGCTAACTGCCGTCTCTAACTGCTGTGTCCCTCACCCCCCCAACCCCACAATGCCTCATGGTTCAGTCTTAAAGTGGCAGTAACGTATAAACAAACATAAAATGTATTTCCACTCCTGCTCTCTGTCACACATGTGGTCACAAACCCTTGAAAAATGACAGCACCCGGCCATGTTCTGAGCCAAGAGGGAAGCCTTCATAGTACGCAAGCAGGCCTTGTGTGAAATACCTCAGAATTCAATAATCTTGTGTATAGTGTTGTGCCAGGCCCTAATAAAGCTCAGGTTTTAGTTGAGACCCCAAGACTGCAAAATGGGGGGGTGTCATGTACAGGGTAGGCCATAATCAGTGTTCCCTCTAAGCTGAGTTAGTGTGAGCTAGCTCACAGTTTTCTAGCCTCCAGCTCACAGATTTTTGTCTTAGCTCAGGAAGGGATGGCTCCAGAGCAAACTAATTTATGCAGTACCCAAATCGCTCGCTCACAACTTTAATGCCAGTAGCTCACAAAGTAGAATTTTTGCTCACAAGACTCCACAGCTTAGAGGGAGCATTGGCCGTAATATATGGCCAGTTGGCTCTCTGGCTTGGTGGGCCACTCATTTTACAGGTTCGAGCCCAGCCAGAATCTTTCGGATGCACTTCTGGTAACTCACTTCACTGTCCTTCTGCCTCTTGACCAAGAGGTGGTGAGCAATGCCCCCTCTAAGCTGTGGGGTCCTTTGAGCAAAAATTCTACTTTGTGAGCGACTGGCATTAAAGCTGTGAGCAAGCAATCTGGCCACCGCATAAATTAGTTTGCTCTGGAGCCATCCTTCCTGAGCTAAGGCAAGAATATGTGAGCCGGAGGCTAAAAAACTGTGAGCCAGCTCACACTGACTCAGCTTAGAGGGAACACGTAGCCATCCTTGCTCCTCCGCCATTGTCTTTGCTGCCTGAGCACTCTAAATAACACAAAAGCAAGGGCAAATAAAAGAGAATATAAACCAGACTGGCATCATCATTTGTGCCCAGTCAAACTGGATGCAGTGTGAAAGTGACGTGTATTGTTGCCAAACCCCGCCCCCTTCAAGTCCCAAGCACGGAACAAGAACAACAACGGTAGGGGGGAGGTGTTTCTGGTCCACTTGCAGATCTCCATCCTGGGCTGATGAGCCCGTGTTTAGACTTGAAAGTTACCAGTTGCACGGGCCAGATTTAAAAAAATATATATTAGTTGAGCTGGCCAGCCGCCAGCTGCTTCCGTGCAGTTTCCCTTGGAGAGAACCCTGATTAAGTGATTGGTCTACTTCAGCCAAGTGCCGTTGAATAATTCCACATCCGTTTTTAATTGTGTTGATAGCGTGATAATTAAGCGTTGCCAAAAGTTGGGCTTCTGTAATTAAAGATTAGGCCCAGAGGCTGAAATCCTGCGTGCTCTTCGGCTGCTTAAATACATTCAGCTTCAGTGGGATTTGAGGGTCTTAACTGTGTGCCAGGATTGCCACCCAAACGGGTTCAAGCGTTCACTGGGGAAATTGTCGACATCTTTCTCAAAACAGTAACAAGGAGGCATACAGGAGAATGCGCTTTAATCTGGGGTGAAGTATGTTTGATTAAGATGTGATCCTAAACATTGTTATACCGTTCTAGAGTCCATGATGCCAGTTGGTTTGGAAGAGGGTAACTCCGTTGAGGATTGCGCTGTGAATCTCTTAGTTAGGCTATGTTTCTATCTTGAAATCCGCAAAATCATTGGAAATTCTCCCTTGAGGTATGACAAAACTATGTAATATGCAGTATAATAATTCAATAGGGAATTAGATAAGCATATGGAGCATCAGTGGCTATTAGCCACAAGGTATAGATAGAGGCTCTGGGGCAAGTGATGCTCTGTCATCTTGGTGCTTGGGGGGGTCAACAGTGGGATGGCTTCTAATGTCCTGGCCCCACTGGTGGACCTCCTGATGGCACTGGTATTTCTGGCCACTGTGTGACACAGAGTGGTGGACTGGATGGGCCTTTGGCCTGATCCAACATTGGCATCTCTTATGTTCTTATGTTCTTATAATAATATGTATTGAGTAATATGGGGGGGGGGGAATGCATTAACACCCCTGATCTTTTTATTTAAAAGGAGCAGAAAGCCATCTGTGTGGTTTGATGATAAAGTCAGATGTCACCTTTATTTCCTGGTCCAGCACTGTACTCAGGGGGTCTTGTGAGTCACCTGTAGTGCGTCAGCTGCTGCAGTGTCGCTCGTCCGTCCCTTAGAAGACCCAGGGAAAGACGGCAGAAATATCTGCTTTACATCTTTTAAATGAAATGATTAAATGTTTTATTTCAGAGGGTTTTATTCCGTGCTCCGTAGCAGAGAACTTGAGTTTCTGTTGCTCTTCCTTTTTTTTTTCCGAGTCGGTGTTGTGTTCCTAGGAGGGAACAAAACGATGATGATGATGATGATATGTTGATGATGATGACGAATGGTGACAGATATTTGACTGGTAGAGGGTGTTCTGCAATTTGAGATTTAGCCAAGTTCTTGGGACTTCGCAGGATTCCTGCTCTTCCAAGCAACACTGCCTCCTGGAGCTGGGCTGCTGTTATTGGCTCAGTGCCCAGGTTGTCCAGGTGTTTCCTGAGACTTCTAGGCACTGCTCCTAGGGTTCCGATGACACCTGGCACAATGGTAACGTTATTATTATTACTATTACTGTTAAATAATAATTTCATGTATACCCTGCCTTTCTCCCCAATGGGGACCCAAAACGGTTTACATCCTCTCCTCCAGAGAGTCAGTTTGGGGTCGTGGTTTAGGAGCACAGACTCTAATCTGGGAGAACCGGGTTTGATTCCCCACTCCTCCACATGCAGCTGCTGGTGTGACCTTGGGTCAGTCGCAAGTTCTTTCAGAGCTGTTCTCTCAAGGGCAGTCCTCAAACGAGCTCTCTCAGCCCCACCTACCTCACAGGGTGTCTGTTGTGGGGAGGGGAAGGGAAAGGAGACGGTGAGCCGCTCTGAGACTCCTTCGGGTAGTGAAGGGCGGGGGGGGTATAAATCCAATCTTCTTCTTCTTCCATTTTATCCTCACAACAACCCTGTGAGGTAGGTTAGGCTGAATGTGTGTGACTGGCCCAGGGTCACCCAGTGACTTTCCATGGCACAAAGGGGGATTTGAACCTGAGTCTCCCAGATCCAAGTCTCACACTCTGACCACTACTACATCACGCTGGCTGCCAGGGAGTAGCTTGGGCTATTTTTCATCACTCAGAAGTCGCTGTCATTAAAGGTTGGTGACCACCCCCACCCTCGCTCTACCCACTGCACCCCGTTGGCTGTCAGAACTGCCGGGCCTTTAGCCTGCATTCAGTCCAAATGTAGACATCCTGATACAAATGAGCCGCCAGCCTTGGACGTTACATGAATGAGCTACTAATGATGCCTTTGCCTGGGGATAGACCTAACCTGGACAGATGCCTCTTTTAAGCCAAACGAACCGGGAATCAAACAGTGTCTTTGGCAACGCAGAGTTCTGTAGAAAAGAGCAAGAGTCCGGTAGCACCTTAAAGGCTAAGAAACTTTGTGGCAGGGAATGAGCTTTTGTGAGTCGCTGCTCACTTCTTCAGATACCGCTAGAATGGGAGTCCATCTGTCCTTATATCTTGGGAGAGTGGAGTCATTTCAGATGCCGGATGACAAGAGCAGGCGTGATTGGGTTAGGCTTTCGGTATTCTGTTGGTTTTCCTCTGTGCTTCCCTGTTCAATCTGGCTTGTTTCTCCAAACAGTTTTCTGCAGCCGCCAAAGCCGCTTTCATCGCTTAGTACTCTACGGGACGGCAACTGGAGAGACGGCTGTTACTGAAATGGAAGGGACCGGAACGGCAGGCGAGACGGAGTGCTTGATCCTCTTAAACCCAGCTGGCTGGGTAACTTAAGACTGCGGGCGGGGGAAATGGCTCACACGACACTGCTTCTTTTCTCTGTCCTTGGTTGCCGAACATATGCAAAGCCTACATCCTGCACTTAGTTCTTTGCTTGGGAAAACCTCAGTGTTGTCCAACTAATGTTAAAAAGAATTATTTGTTTTGACCTTTTAAAATACATCTGGGAAAGTACCAGACGTCGCCCACTAGGGGGCACCGGAAATGTGGTTTCTGAATGCTTTTGTCATAAAGAGATTTTTCAGGACCCTTTCGTCTGTGTACTGCTTTAAAAGGTGATGTTTCAATGAGTTAATTGCTTTCTTGCAAGATTTACAAGACAGATTCTTCTGCTACCGCCTGAACATTTTTTTAGCCTTTCTAAGGGACATTGTTTTGTACTTAACGTGTTTTACATTCACTTGGGAGTCATAGAATATTAAAATTTTTGTCTGTGCCATAAATAATTTCTAATAATAACCACCCAGTGTAGATCTTATAACATATCTGTCCTAGACCAGCAAGGGCCTATCTGCCTACAGAAGCAGGTGTTTGGCCTGGGACTCCCTGGGATTTTTCAGCATCAGGAACTGGCTGAAATTCAGCACCCTCGGGTGCCGAAATCCGTGCTGTTCCTGATGCTGAAAAATCCCAGGAGGCAGCTGCCTGAGTTTCAAGGACAGGAGGGGGAATGCAGGGCCCTTCCGCTCCCCTTCGGCCGCTTGGGGTGACAAGGGGCTTTTTAGCATTACGAACTCTGCCCCATCTTGAGAATGCACATAGTTGGATCAGGTCCCATCCACAGGCACCGCGACAGCTATGTTGTACACATATGTTGTGATAACATACAAGTGTGTGCGCACACACACACAAACACACACACACGCATTCACTTGAAACTGCCATGCCTTTGGGGGGGGGGGAGGCCGACCTGAGTCCATTCTCATCTTCTCGTTCCAGTGTTAATTTATTCTCACAGCGGTCTTGAAGCGATAAAGAGGGCATATGTTAACGTTGCACTTAAAAGAGGCAGTGATCTCTAAACGACCGGGTTTCAATACTTTTATTATGAAGAATTTAAAAAAAAATTGGGGGGTGTTTTATTAACAGTTGCGTAGGGGGAGAACTGACGGGTTTTCACGGAAGTAAATCCTGTTTTTATAGACCTTTTACAAAAACCCAGTTGCACTAATTAGCGGTTTCTTACGATGGATTATGATTTTAATACTTGATTACAAACTTGTATTCTACTGATCTGGAATGTTTTGGGAATAAAGAGATCTATTTCAGCAACCTCACGCTGTTCTTGGATGTGCAGTCGAAAGAGAGTCTGTGTTCTTTATTTCTTGTGCTTGCGGATAGAACCCTGGTGGCGGCGAAAACCAGTTTTGTCCGGGGGAATAAGACGGCGGTCTAACCTAGGGCCTCCATCTGCTCAGCTCCTGGGTGAGAGGCAAAGTCCTAGGCTAAGCCCTGTTAACAGCTTCTCCCCCCCTGGTGTTGAAAGCAGTTGAGACTCTGTCGGCCTAAACGTGGCGCAGGCCTGGTGTTGAAAGCAGTTGAGACTCTGTCAGGGGCCCGGCCTAAACGTGGCGCAGTCATGAAAACACACAACCACACGAGGGTTGCCCAACCTCCAGGTGGGGCCTGGAGATCTTCCAGTGTTTACAGCTGATCTACAGACGACAGAGATCAGCTCCCCTGGAGAAACAGCTGCTTTGGAGGGTGGGCTCTGTGGCACTAGACCCTGCTGAGGTCCCTCCCCAAGCCCTGCCACTCCCAAATCTCCAGAAATTTCCCACCCAGAGTTAGCACCCAAGCCATCCTGAGCCCTGCTCGGCGGGGAAAGGAGCGGGATATAAACTTGGGTCATTTCCTGTGGGAGCGCACAGGAGCGAGCTCCGGCAGTAAGGAGCCCAAGGGGCAGGCACATGCAACAAGCCCCGCCCCCTGCTCCCAGCAGCCCTCAGTCAGGCCACAAGGAGCAAGAAGCAGCCAGGTGAGTTGCAGAGGCACCCCCCATCCTGCCTTCAGGTACAAGCTCTTCCTCCTCTGTGAGGGCAGATCTGCACGTTCTCCCCCCCCCCACTCACTTTTTTTTAGCTAGCAATCCAAAACAGTCCAGTGGCACCTTTAAGACCAAGTTTTATTCAGGTACAAGCTCTCCCTCTGCGAGGACAGATCTGCACATTCCCCCCCCCCAATTCCTAGCAATCCAAAACAGTCCAGTGGAGCCTGTGTGGTGGGTGTTGCCTTCTGACGCACTTCCGGTGATGTCCGAGGGTGTGGCATATGCAAATAAGTTATGCTAATGAGCTCCTGCACCTCTTTTTCTACAAAATGACCCCTGTATAAACTGAATAAATAAATATGTGTGTGCATGCTCACACACAGAGATACGCCCTGCCCATTCAAGGCTGCTGATCTCTGGTGTGCTAATGATGTTATATGTCCAGGCACGAGACTCTGGTCTAACTGTGACCCTCAGCATCTATATATCTAATAGCGACATGTGGCCCCCATCTGCAGAAATCTAAATCTGCACATTGGGGCCACACCGACAGAGGGCCAGTTTGGTGTAGTGGTTAAGTGTGCAGACTCTAATCTGGGAGAACCAGGTCTGATTCCCCACTCCTCCACTTGCAGCTACTGGATGACCTTGGGCAAGCCATAGTTCAATCAGAGCTGTGCTTGAAAGAGCTCTCAGCCCCACCTACCTCACAGGGTGTCTGTTGTGGGGAGGGGGAGGGAAAGGAGTTTGTAAGCCGCTCTGAGACACCTTTGGGTAGTGAAGGGCGAGGTATAAATCCAATCTCCTCCTCCTCTTCTTCTTCTTCACGGGTTTTCCTACAAACTTGCAGAATCCCCAGGTTTGTAGAAAAATCTGAATCGTTAAAATTTAGGGGGATTTAGATTCCCCCCAAAATAAAAAAGCATCTGAGCATGTGCAGACAACACACTTACCTTTAATCTTCAGAACTGGCAGCGGGTAAAGCTTTAAGGCACTCTGGACCTGACTGTGGAAGTAGTGGAGTCCCAGATACTGCCGGGCTCAAAGTTGGGTGGCAGGGCTGGATATGAGCAGGGGAAGAAATATTTTTATCGTCCACTTGAATAATGAGTCTCTATTTGTCTGGAACGCAGACTGTTACCTGTCCTTTAGAAATCCAGAAGTCCCAGCCTCCAATCTGTTTTAAACATCGGACTTCGGACCTGAAATATTTGAAACGATTGTGGATTTTGGAGCATGCAGAGAGTGAGTTTCTTTTCCTTCCTATTGAATAACAGCAACAGAATCAAGGAGCTGGTCACACACAGCCTCTGGCGTGGCTTTTCCCATCATGGTTCAATGGGCCCAATTGCCTGTCTTTTTAAAGAAATTCATCACTGAGGCAATTCTCCCTTCTAAGTGATTTTTTTTTAAATCCAGGTCATAGCAACACATGAGCATCCATAAATGAGAAGAACAGCACGTGTGGAAACGACTTCTAGGGCCATCTTACCCCACTGTGCACACAAAATGGGGGCAGCGAATACCTAGATGCATCAGCATCTGTGTAGCAGCACAACCACCCCCAACTTCGACGTCTTAATTGAGGGCATGATGGGGGTCTTCGAGGCCTGCTGTAATAACCAGGGCTCTTTTTGTAGAAAAAGCCCAGCAGGAACTCATTAGCATAATAGGCCACACCCAACACCAGAAATACATTAGCATATTAGGCCACGCCCCTGCCAGCACAGCTCATTAGCACATTAGGCTGCACCCCCATGTTACCAGAAGTGTGGTTATCCAGCCACACCCACCTTTTGCTTCTTATTCTGTTTACCTTGTTTGTTGTCAAAACCCAGGGCTTTTTTTGGAGCAGGAACTCCTTTGCATGTTAGGCCACACACCCCCTAATGTAGCCAATCCGAATGAGTTCCTGCTGTTGGGTGTGGCCTATTATGCTAATGAGTTCCTGCTGGGCGTGGCAAACTTCGGAGCCAGCCGGAACTCCGTTCCTGTGCGTTCATGCCCAAAAATAGCCCTGTGTATAACTATAAACTGCTTGGAAGCTTCATACCTGAGAAGCTCCGCATATGCTCTCACAGTCTCTGAGCGCCACCTCAGCGGGGCATCCCCTTGGAAAAGGTACAAAGAGAAAGCCCTCTCAGTGGCTGACCTCTCACGTATGGAGCTCCTGTCTGAGGGCTTTTTGCACATGTCTTATATTTGTCGCTTGTGTGCCCCATTCGGTATCTCCCCCCCCTTTTTTTCCTACATGCGTTTTGCTCCCTCTGGTGGTCATTTTGACATTTCATCACTAGGCTGCTTTCCGTGACCTTTCCACCCTCTAAAAATAATTTTTGTTTAATTTTTAAAGGGGTTTTTAAAAAAAAAGAATCATGCATGCAACAGTGACGCTTAAAAAGCAGCCGTTTGCTTCTAAATAACATATATAAAGGAAGGAAATGGGGGACTAAAGACTGGCGATGAAGATAAGGCAGATGAGGAAGAGGGACGGAGAAGAGGGAGAGAAGAAAACGGGAAAGGTTCGGGACGGCACGATGTAAAACAATCCAGTTTAAGAGGGGGGCCGTGACGGTCTGCGGGAGAACAAGTAGATTTGAGTCCAGGTAGAGACTAACAAAGTTTGGGGGTCCATAAGCTGCCAAGAGCCACCGCTCTCTTCATCAGAGTGTTTGTCGTAGCAGGAGGTGGACCTCTGAGCGTGCCTGACACTGAGAGCAGGACAGAGCAGATGGGCCACATCCTCGTACGGCTGCCCGCCCCCCCCGCCCCCCCCGACACCAGCAGGAAAAGGTTGCCAGATCCAAGCCGGGAAGCTCCTGGAGGTTTGGGGGTGGAGCTTGGAGAGGACAGAGACCTCAGTGGGGTTCCCTGCCCTAGAGCAGGGGTGTTGAACATAATAGCCCATCAGTGTTCCCTCTAAGCTGAGTTAGTGTGAACCAGCTCACAGTTTTTTTAGCCTCCAGCTCAAACAGCGTTGTGTCTTAGCTCAGGAAGGGATGGCTCCGGAGGAAACTAATTCATGCCGCAGCCAGATCGCTCGCTCACAACTTTAATGCCAGTCGCTCACAAAG